AAACAAAATAACTACCTTAAGGATACAGCACTTCAAATGTCTAGGAAAACAGAAGAGTTAATTCAGGTTGCAGCCACAGTAATATTTTTGTTTGCAGTTATTAATAATGAGAGCAGGACAGAGAACCAGCGCCTCTAGGCACTTTTTGCAGATTTAGTGTTTTAGATCTGGAGTGATCATGCCTGCTAAAAATAAAACAAATAAAAATGCAGTTTTAAGTCTTGTCTTTCAAACCCTTTGTCGTGTTATACTCACATTTTATGCAGATAATTTTAGGCCTGTCCCACTTGCCATTAGCGCGACACTTAGCAGTGGGTACGTGGCGCTGCAGGAAGCCGTCGGCGCACTGGTAGCGCACCACTGAGTGGATATCGTAGTGGGAACGCTTTAGACCAATCAGAAAAGCGTTATTCACAGTGGGAGGGGCTCCACAGAGCACTGTAGAAACAGAGAAACAAGATTGTATTAATAGTCTTCTGTATCTTGTCTTTTTATAAATTGTGTTTGATTTCCCCTTCAATAGGWCATTTTGTTRAGTGAGGTTCTGTAGAAAGGTTATGAACAAATAACATCTTACCTGTTCTAGACAGCACTTTTATCAGCCACAGTGCTGTTCTTAATTTAAACCMTAACATTTGTGTTGTGTTTCAGCCATTTGTGTACACAACAACAGTTTTCTATGACACTGAAACATTTTRAATCCAGCTCTCAGATTTTGAGATTTTTTTGAAAAATGTCTAGCATTGGTTGAAGGAGAAACTGCAGCTTGTGCAAAACCACACATGCAGACAGCTGCAGTTACTTTTTTCTTTCTTGCTCTTGCATYGTAAATCAACAGTAATAATGGTAGATAGCAGAGTATGTTCGAGAAGCTCACTGTTTAATTTATCAGAGCTTCTGAGACTAAACATTTATGTGCTACATCATCCTTTGGAACAGTAGAGATGCTGTTCTCGGTCGCTGAGGGATTTAAACARTGACTGTAGTTTATGTGATCAGAGTTTTTCTGGACTGGAATTGAACARGGAATGCAAGAAAACCTTAAAGTGTTTGGCACAAGATATTCCAGTAGCTAGGAGTTACAGTTGGGAGAAAAACAAGGTAGGTTTTGTGGCTTGTCCAAGGTGGTGCATTGTGACAGATCCTGGTGAGCAGAGGGAATAATGTTATCTTCCACCAGGCACCACTGATAGCCTCAGTCACCATAATATAATCTTCAGCCACTACAACCATTTGAGGAAAATATGCTTTCAAGTTTTTATTGTTTAATAAGATAGTTTCCTCAAATGACTGAG